TTCTGCAACACCCTGCTAACAATAGGTGGACTCGACTGACTTAGGGGCGATCCAAGGGCCCCTTAGATGGAGGTTTGAAGCCTCGGATCGTAAGCGCTCCATGTTTTAATTATACTCGACGAACCGAATTCAAATTTCATTGAAATTGTTGATTGCAATTTGAAGTGCTGATTTATCAGCTCAGCGGTGAAGAACAAAGTCGTGAAATAACTGAAAATGTTTTTTTGACATATGTGAAGTCTACCATAGTGAGGTCGCTTTGCAGATTTCGCACTAAACCACTCTCTGGAGAAGGCTGTTACTAATATTGAAACTTCTTTTTATTTTATTTCACTTTATATTATATTTTACTTTATAAGACATTAAACCTTTAAATCCTAAATCAAACCCATTATAACCTATGAAATTCTCTTACAGCCAATATTATGTTCGCTTTTGTTCTGATTAAACGTTCATGCCATCCACTAGATTATCTTGTAAGAGAATTCAGACATTTTAAGTTATAATAAAATAAAATGAAACTAAAATGATAAAATTTTATTTGTGCTGCTATACAAATATTGATTTTGTAATAAGCCGTGTTTTGGAATAATGAAATATTATGTTACTCGTATAGATGTGTAAATTGAATCATGACAATCAGATACGTAATACAAACATTGATGACATTGTATGAGAGGCGTAAATCCATTGGTATAATGTTCCATGCTTTGAATTCTATTCGACGTCCTTTTAAATACTTGATAAGGTCCATAACCTCTTGTTTGATTTGACCTACAAAGAAAAAGGATTCTTAGAGTTATTGAAGGGAATATATAAGTAAAGAATCACTAAAGGTATGCTAATAAAGTCCTTATCGCTGCGGACAAACCAGTTTAATTCAAAGGACAAATATTCAAAAGTATATGTACGAAACAACGGTTTTTCGTCATGGATCATCATCATCATCATCATTTCAGCCTGTTTGAGTCCACTGCTGAACATAGGCCTCCCCCATAGACTGCCACGAAGTACGATCCTGAGCCACCTGCATCCATCGCCTTCCCGCACATTTGCACAGGTCGTCACTCCATCTAGTGGGGGGTCGTCCCACACTGCGATGGCCAGTACGAGGCTGCCACTCGAGAGCATTTCTTCCCCAACGGTTATCGGTAGAACTAAGGTGACCGACATAGCTCAGAGGATTAGCAAGCTGAAGTGGCGATGGGCCGGCCATATAGCTCGTCATGGATGATTTGTAAGAATTTTTTTACAAAATAAATTAATTTTTCTTTTTCTAAAATAAATTTTATTTTATTTTCCAACAATGTGATCTACAACTTTTACCTGATTTCCGCATTTGGATTTCGTTCAAACACATATTGAGGCTCTGCACCTTGGATTTCACCATTTCCACTACAATCGCCGGTGCACATATGTTTATGCTAATTAAAAGCAGCAACACCACTTGAACAATTAAGGCGAACCAACCGGACTAGAAGTATATAAATATTCGTATTAACATCTTTTCAAACATTTACACTGATTAATTCTCAATAAAATTATCAAAACTTTCGTGAGACATTATTAATGTAATATTAAGACGGCTGAACTCATGTAGATTAAGATTAAGATGTAGATTAAGAGCCGTGATAGCTCAGTGTCCGGGCGCTCGCCTTAATTCAATGTATACTCGAGCAACCTGAGTTCGATCCCCGGTGCCGGCACCAATGAAGTTTTTAAAACCTGCATATTTTCGAAATAATAATTTTAAAAAAAATCGAAGATATGTGAAGTCCACCAATCCGCAGTGGGGCCGCGTGGTGGACTATGTCCTGATACTCTCTGTACAGAGGAGGTCTTTGCCCAACATTGGGACATGTATAGGCTGATACTTTACTTTTATACTTTAATGAATGACTGAACTGAACTGATATCAAAAATTTCACTCGTTAACTTAACACCAACACCGGATTACTCACTCAATGTCAGAAATATGCTATTAGAGTTAGTGACTCCAACATATATACACATAAGAGAAACCTTTTATGTTCATATTGTAGCACATAAAACTCAGTATTGGCAATATCCAGTATTGGCCCCAATACGAGAAGACTCAACCAATTTCGAAAATATATTATTACTGGTAATAGCTCTAATATACATAGAAGGTATAATAAGTATGTGCTGGTTAGTGCTTGTACCACCACACCTTACTGTCAATGTGGGATGGATGAGCTTATATCAATTGGATGGCGGTTAATAATGTCAAAATAAACCGACCGATGTCACTGAACGCTTTTGCTGCACTAAAAATATTTAAATTATAATTGCGAACTAAAGTATAAAACTAGTACGAGCGTATACAATAGAAAATGTACGGCTTTGCCTGTATAAAGTAAATAATTCAGTAAATAAATATGGTTATTCGTTTTTCATATTTATTATTCGAAAAGAATATCACCCATGCTTACTTAAGCTTGTATTATGTTGTTACATTTCTCTACATCGTTATAATCCAAAGATCAATGGATTGGTATGGCTTTAAAATATTGTAATAAACGTCGTTTACAAACAAGCACTTTTTTTATGTGGGAAAGTTGCAAACGAGCAGGCGGTTCACCTGATGTTAAGTGATAACCGCTGCCCATGAACAGTTGCAACACCCGTAGGGTTGCAGATGTGTTGCCACCTCTTAATAATGTGGGCCCCGGCTACCTCACTCACCAGATGAAACGCAGAAGTGCAGCACTTTACACCGGTCTTCTGTGAGGTCGTGGTACTGACCCGGACGGACCTGCCCATTCGTGCAACAGTGAACACTGTTGCGTGGTCCTACCACCGTTACCACTTACTTCGATAATTAATGTTAGGTGTTATCGTTTTACCGACAATTAGTGAAATTTTATTTGTAATTTGTACTTACATCAGTTTTAATAAAAGAAAGCAAATACCACAATAGAATCATTAGCTTTGGAGTGTCGCTGATGACGCCAATCAACATCTGAAATATAATAATAGTTAATTGAATGCAAGTCTCTTAGGCAAAATAAAACGCAATGAAAGCCTCAAAGTGGTTTGGAATATTTAATTTTCAAACTACTGATTTCTTAATCACTCTCATAATCTAATGTTGATGTAAATTATATATAAAGTATTTTTACTAGTAACCATTACCGTGTTATTAACTAATTTTTTTCAAAAGTTATGGTAACTGTTACATTATGCAACAACATCGGACTTACCAATTTACAATATAAGGGTTCGATTTTGAGCCAACAGTTATCAATTGCAACACAGGCACTCCGAACCTTATTGACGTTTATATCGCCCTCCGTTTTTAAACTTCTTTCTACATTTGAAACGCTCTCATAAATGTATTTAATTATAATGACTTGTATCACTGGCACTGTGTCTAAAGCGAAAAAAGGCATGTATACGAGAGGGTCCGGCAAGGAATACATCGTAAAACATGATCCCATGAATACACTGCATTTCGCAATATTTATCAGCACCTTTATAAAAATCACAACTAGCGTCACGATTACTATTATAGACGTGCATCGGTAAAACTTTTTCATCGAATAGCCCCAGTTTAAAAAAAACATTTCAATCAAAAAATCGTAAATCCTGTATCTACTCGAGAGAATGAATATAAAACATGAGACGTATTGAATCAAATATATCCAGTAAAAATACTTTTTGAAGCTCAAACTCCACACGGGTATTGTAGCTATAATCATTGTGACCAAAGACTTCATCGAAGACAACAGTTTCGCAACGCCTCTATGTTTCTTTGGTAGCATGTCAATGAATCCGCAATCCAAGTTGAAAAACAAGTGAACTGTGACGAAGAAGTATACCAAATATCGAGGAATTTTCAATTCCATTTCTATATCAAACATCCGCAGGTCCATTATCAACATACAGTACGATTGACTACTACGCCCAGTCTAATTATACTGATACTTTACTCTTTCACGGTTTAATTTTATTGAGAGCACAAAAAGTGTGATTGACGCAAAGAAAAATATCACTTACACTCTAATTCTAATTATTATAAACATGTCCCATATTTACCTGAACTTTAGCCAAATATTTTCACAATAATCATATGATAAGATACTTATGAATGTGTTAATATAACGGCTTGCAAGGCGAAGAACTCGTGAGAATAATATGAAACATATATATTTTCCATTAAACACAAAATACTTATCGTCCTGGAGACATAAATAAATGAAAATTCACCCAGGATATATATTTGTTTGACCGTCGCCGTTTGTAACTGTTTAATTTGTGTTTAGTTTGGTAGTGTAGCTGCAAGAGAGCAGTGACAGTATTGCATTACGCCCTACACTCCACGCCCATAATGTGGTTAGTGTAGACCCATAGACCATGTTCACCGGTGGGGATCAAGAGGCTTGCTGCTTGTTAGCACTGACTCTCATGGCTCCCATAACCTCGAGGGAGTTTTCTGCCTTATTTCATCATCCAAACAAACACTTGTTTTGTACAATTCAATCTACAGAGTTGCTTCATGTTGCTTTTAAAATATTCCAGCAAATGTAAGTATCGTTATAAATAAAGTATTGATTTATAAGACTCACGAGTTTGTTTCAATTTTAGAACGATAATTGCATCAAACGAGTTCCTCCACAAAATCGTTTAGCGGAACAGTATTTCATTAAAATTGTCATTAAGGTCAATAAATCATAATTTGTATCGTTTACTAATGATGGTAATTCCATTATGTGATAACAATTACAACGCATATAAAACGTTGAAGTAACATTTAAAACAAATAAATGATATCATGACTGAGATATGATATGAGACAGCTTTATTGCAAATATATTTGAAAGTGAGAATCAAAATACTATATCAAAATGATATTTCACCGGCTTGCAGTTCAAAGGTATGTTGTCAACTTCACTTTTCTTCAATTTCAATAGTTTAATTCTACATATATTCAATGGCGAGCTAATAATAAAAATCATCATCACGTTTTTATTTCCAGAATGATCGAATATTTCGGCTTAGCCCATCTAGTCGGTGGACCGCGGCAGAACGCCGACAACACGGAAATTAAACTCAACACCAATAAAACGATGAACATGGCCGTGTCGCTGCTAATGTCAATCTTAGGCACACTCATCTGTCTCACTCTGCCGTTCGCGGTACTCGAGAAGCCATTGGGTTCGTTCGCCAGCGAGAGGCCTCAAGTTCGAAACGCGCTGGAGTGGATCGAGAGGCACCTGGCTTTCATAGATCGTATAATTGTCGCCACAGCGATCCTTTTGGTACTCGTTGCGGCGGACACTATCGTTGACGCGATAAGACATACAAACATAAAGGTCAGCCCTTGGGTGCAAAGGGGCAAATACTTACCTCGCAAATATAAAGCTCAATCGATAAATTCGATAACCAGGCGTTCCTAAGCATTTTCTTTCTCAACATGATTTTCGCGAAGCATTTGATGTCCTGGAACATGGATACATATGGGAAGCCCTGAAATGCCAAGGTGTTCAAATGAAATACATCAGGATTCTGTATATTATTTACTCAGGAGGCAAAGCCCAAGTAAACCTCGAGACAACAGGAGAACTATTCCCAGTCCAAAGAGGAGTTCGTCAAGGGGATCCTATTTCACCAAAATTGTTTACAGCGGTTCTAGAGATGATTTTTAGAAATCTAGAATGGGAAGATATGGATCTTAACATTAATGGCCAAAAGTTAAACTATTTGCGCTTTGCCGATCATTTAATAGTGTTTTCTAAAGATTCACGGAGCTTAGAACTAATGCTGCAACAGTTGGCTGATGAAAGTGCTACAGCGGGACTGTCAATGAATATAAGCAAAACAAAAAAATTGACTAACGCCCAAAAATCGGATTCAGATACTATAATGATTAACGATCAATACATATATTTATGACAATTAATATCACCCGTTGATAATATGCATAAAGAAATAAATAGAAGAATAACAAATGCGTGGAAAAGGTTTTGGAGCCTTAGCGAAATAATGAAAAATGTTGAAATATCTATAAAAATGAAAAAAAACCTATATACAACACTTGCATACTCCCGTGCTTAACATACGGATGTCAAACGTGGGCTTTAACAGATCAGCTATCGAACAAAATAAAAGTGTTCCAGAACAGCATCGAACGAAGTGTAATAGGGGTAAGAAGAAGTGACAGAGTGAAATTAGAAATAATAAAAACCAAGACAATTTTTTTTTTATTGTTGTAACAAAATCCACAGCACTTTTTTAAATATATATAAATCTTATAACTAAAACTTAAAGCCAATTTGGTTTTACATTATTCTGCTAAATAATTTAAATTACGACAGTAGAAAACATGAAAACATTTGATACTTAGGCATTATTATGGATTATTTGTAAGTGCGTGCTTGTGCGTTTGTGTGTGTGTGTGTGCGTGTGCATGTGTGTGTGTGTGTGTGTGTGTGTGTGTGTGTGTGTGTGTGTGTGTGTGTGTGTGTGTGTGTGTGTGTGTGTGTGTGTGTGTGTGTGTGTGTGTGTGTGTGTGTGTGTGTGTGTGTGTGTGTGTGTGTGTGTGTGTGTGTGTGTGTGTGTGTGTGTGTGTGTGTGTGTGCGTGTGTGTGTGTGTGTGTGTGTGTGTGTGTGTGTGTGTGTGTGTGTGTGTGTGTGTGTGTGTGTGTGGGTTGTGTGTGTGTGTGTGTGTGTGTGTGTGTGTGTGTGTGTGTGTGTGAGAGAGAGAGAGTGTGGTCGACACTGCAAGCGAGTCGATGACTTGGCTACAGCAAATAAGCGTGTATGTCTGGTTCTAACTTTTGGAGTAGACAATCGGAGAACTTTTGCAGCTAAATATTGGCAGTCAATATTTCCCGTACACAGTCCCTGCAAGAAAGCCATGTCCAACAGCGTACGCCGGCTCTCAAGGCTTGCGAGTTTATAATACTTGCATGACACTTCATAATTACTGGAGACTCTGTGACTTCTGTAGTTCAGCTGCCTTATAAACTTATGCTGAATCTTCTCCAAATTATTTTGATGTGTTATGTAGTGTGGGTTCCAGGCGGTGCTACAGTATTCTAGTATGCTTCGTACGTAGGAAACGTAGAGTAATTTTATGCAATTAATACTAGAAAAAGGTCTACTAACACGTAAAATAAAACCTAGGTTTTTGTAGGCTGAATTTACTAATGCTTTAAAAATGCGCACATCGTTAGTAGAAGGTTAAAATGGCGTTGGGCAGCACATATGCAAAGGGATACGAAAGAAAAGTGGACCAAAATAATAACCGAATGGTACCCTCGAGGCGACAAAAGAAATAAAGGGAGACAGTGCAAACGATGGGAAGACGACGTCAGACAAATGACGGGCCCTAAGTGGACCCAAATAGCCAGAGATCGAGCTGCATGGAAGTCCTTGGAGGAGGCCTTTGTAGAGAGACAAGCTGCTACAGATTATTAAACCGACTACCGATATACTTAAAGACCACAATTACGTGTAACTAGTATTAATTTAAATAGTGATTAGTATAACACGTAAGAATAAGATTGTAAAGAGTAACAGTAATAAGGCTTAATAAAAGGCTTATTTTATTTTATTTATTTTATTTATATTTTCGATATGAAGTAATTATCCTGAAACCTTTTCATTTGATTGGATGCTGTAAATTTCCGGTTGTTTTTTAACTTGAAATAAATGTGACGGAAAATTGCATTGAAAAACCAACAAAAAAATACGACATGTGTCTATTATTTTTTAAATTAAAGTAATTCATATAAAATTTGCTCTGATATTTTAAATAAGTTGACTAAAGTCGCTTGACTCTTACTCTGAAATCTTCTCGGCATACTTAACGACAAAAGTACTTTTTCAAGCACTTCTTTTACCACTCGATTTTATAATTAAGAGGCTATAATCCTTAATTAGCTATACGTCACACAAAATAGTTTGTGCATATATTTTATCAAACGCTAAATACGTAAACGGTAAATTTATCTACGAACAGTTTTCGATGTGCACTGTCGCGCCAAATGTGCATTAATTTGAAATTAGTCAACATTAAATCTGGGCGGGCGTACATGGCAATAAATTAATATCCAGTTTCAGGAATAATTCCCTTGGACAAGACCGCGCGTTCGACACGCCGTGGAGAGATCTGAATCTATTAGAATAAGCATGAATGATTTCAAAAACTATTTAAGTCAATTATGTTGGCCATTTTAGCCACTGTAGATTATGTATATTATACTTATATCCTATTTTTTCCTATAATACATCATAAATAATATATTTTTAAATAATATCGATAAAGATGTATAACATTAATTATTAGATAAGATATAAGTGCAGTAGGACAGTAATTTGCCTAATAACGTTATTATTATCAATAATAGCACACAAAACGCAATTTAATTTATACACACAACTATAAAACATTTCATAATTTTTATTTAGGTATTAATAATTAATTAGAAAACGGTGATATAATCCTTACTAACATTATAAAGGCGAAAGTTTGTATGTATGGATGGATGTTTGTTACTCTTTCACGCAAATACTACTGAATGGATTTTAATGAAAGTTTATAATAATATAGCTTATACATCAGAATAAGACATAGGCTATAATTTATATACATATTTTTATGTATATCTGTCTTTTTGTCTTAATGTTACGCCTTCAACTTATTCTACACAGACGTAGTCGCGGGCAGCAGCTAGTATGAAATAATGAAGTGGTTCTTCTATAATTTTATTACTCTGCCATTTGATATGAATAAAGAGCTTTTGTCCGACAGTGATATATTGACAAACGATTTATAGAAATACGCAAATGCCGGTCGCTATTTATTTGCTGTTCCCAAATTGCTTGTAACGGCTTTTACGGATATTAACAAAGTCAATACACATGTACTAAAGTAACATTGCATTTTTATCCCTTTATTTCAGAATCGTCAAAAGAGCTAACAACCAAAAGTATATTTACATATTGATAAAACATATTAAGCAATCTCATCTACTATTGCATATATTGCCAGCAAATTGCATTCAAGGCAAAAACCAATCTGCCTACACTGTTTTTCAATAATTAATACCTTGTGGGTATCGCCATGAGATTACTTAATAGGATTCTGGTTGGATCAGTGCGCGTACCACCAATTTCTATATCACCACTTACCGATAGTGGGGGTAGTCGACTTGGCAGTCCATTATAAAAATGCTGGTTACAGTCCTAATAACTTACAACAAACATAATTTAGTCTATAAATTCAAATTATTTGAAAGTATTAGTACAGTAATGTAATACTTTTAAAGAATTTAAATTTATAAATTAAACTATGTTTTTTCGGTAAGTATAATTTATCAATGTCATAGATATTGCTTTGGTTCAGTTCAATAAAAGCGCGAGTTTGAGCGCTAAAGAATAGCTATGTATATACAACCATAGTGTGTGTAATGCTATTTTATTGATTTTATAAACGTTAAGTGTGGGAAATTTAAAACTCCTCCGTTCGCGCAATATTCGTAAAAAGGGGTACAAAGTTTCCCCGTATTAATATATAGATTAGAATGTTTTGTTGGTTTTTAAAGCACTGTTAATTTAATGTTGCCCAAACAAAGGCGAAAAGCCGGCCAGGTAATGTCAAATACGCAATTTGATATCTATATTTTACATAGACATATGGCGTATTGACTTGTCGGCAAACACAGACCCAATATCTACAGTAACGTTGCACGTTGGAAGCTAATGAAATGACGGTCGTAAATCATATCGGAGGCCATATATTAGTATTTCCCTGTACTGACAGCGGACACTGTGCGTTTATCAACACGGCGACCATTCTGTAATATCATTTAAAACTATTCAATGTAACGATTGTTAACAAATGTTTTTTTTTTTTTTACTCTTTATTTTTTTTTTTTTTAAACGGAGGGTTTAATCAAACATGATTATGCCACCCTCATAGGCATTCACAAAATATATAAACAAATAACTTACGATCTACGCTTAATAGCTAATTTAACTAACTTATACAGAGTCTTTGCTACATCTGATAATGGGTGCGCCAGGATACAGTTGCATTTGCCAATTTCAAATAGATCTATATTATTTTGAGAGGTAAATGATCTCCTCTCAACTTCGATCCGAACACACTCCACTATAACGTGGTATATATCTTCTGTGACACCACACTCCTCACAATTCGGGGAATTTGTTTTACCCATAAGGTATGCAAAACTGTTTAGTGGGATGTGTCCAGATCGAAGTCTCATAGCAGTTACAATATCAGACCTACTCATGCCAGATCCACCAAACCATGGCGAACTGGTAAGACTGGGCTGTATTGTCTTGTACCAAATACCCTTAGTAAGTGACCTCTCATCAAAGTGCTCCTTCCACAGTTCTTTACATTTATTACGGACTAAATACAGTT